CTCCCTTCATCAGTCAACAAGTATTTAGCAAGGGCTCATGAGGTGGAGAGTATCACAAGAGGTAGCTGAATACTTCATTCCACTTTGCAGTTATCCAAGCCTGCCATTCCAGTTTACAGATGGAAACCCAATCCTACCCGGAACTAGAAGAACTTCTTCAGTGCTAATCCGGTGTTAATGAATTTGTTAAATTAGTCTCTGCTGACACAGAGAAGAGAGTACTTTGTTATAAGTAGAAGATTTTATTGTTTAATCTCTACGTAACTTTAAAGGCATTGATGGAAGATGCTTTCAGTGCAGCCAAGGAGTGTCAGGTTAGGCCAGTATCTGCACAGAGCATATTTGTTTAAGAAAGGAGATTTGGCAGGAGCAAGGGTCATTTTCAACTCACTTTTTAAAAGTGCAGAGGGAGTTTATTGTTGTTAAGATCCTTCACTATTCAAATTTGATAAAAAAAAACTAAGGAAATATCTTCAAATTACCCTTTTGATGGACAATAGTATTTATCTATTTTTTGTAGTGAACTGTAGTCCAGAAAGCTTTAAAAAAAAACACACTTAAGAATACATGAAATATAAGAAACCCTTCTAAATCACAAAAGGGAGCAAGAGAAGAATGAAAATTTTGAATGGGACTATTAAGAATGAACGGTGGACAGAAATTTGTCATTGAGACTGGATTAAACCTACAACAATGACATACATTCTTGCTACTGTTAGACTAAATTTGGCATTAAGCCTTCAAGCAGTCAACAAAATCAGGAGTTAATTTTGCAAATTACTATACAGTGAGATAGAAAGTAATTTTGCTACTCAGAAGAAGCAAAACTGTTCTCGTTGCAAATATCTGAAAGGTGCTTCTCCAAGGACTCCATGTGAAAATGGCCCTGTGTGGTCTAACAAAAAACACTCTCAACTTGCAGGAAGAACACAGGTGGATTCCTTGGAGCTATTTCTTGTAACAAGTGTCAGTGCAAACCGATGGTATCACACTGAACACTGGTCATTAAAGGAATAATTCTGTGCCATGGGTCTCTCTGATTTGTAGAACCTATTTCTCTGCTGGTCTGAGTTGATCTCAACACACATTTTAGAAAATCTTGAAGATGGATTTTATTGTTCTCAATCAATTGTTCTTAAATGTCTTTTTTTTCCCCTCAGATGAACTTTATTAACAGTTTGGTAGCTCTGATAGACAAGTTCCAGGAGCAAAGCTTTTTATTCCAAGTGCATACCACCCCTTTGCTTTAACAGAATGCAGAGTTTGAGGTTGGTTGACTTCTTTGGCAAACTGAGGGGCCTAAGGTAAGGGTACTGGCCTCAAGGGGCCATCCAGGCTTATGAATGAGCTGAAGATGTGCTCTTATAAAACATTCACCCTACTTAACTGTTTTGAACTACTTTAATTAATGTCCAGACCAATGGTAGCATAAAACCCTGAAGTTCTTATGTTACGGTCACAGTAAATTTAGCCTGGCAGATTTTCCAGGCATATATAACCAGATACCCACCTGGTGGAAAAGCTTAGACTTCTCATAAAACTCTGTCTAGCTTTGAGCACTGTGACTTCTTGGTTTATCTTTGAAAGAAAACTATTTCTCAAATATATACTGAAAAAGTGAAGGGAGGAACTTGTTGAGCAGGACTGCTACTAATATACCAGTTCAAAATTGAGAGAGAGCCTACCAAAAGTAACATAGTTGGTTACATAGTAGGTGATCTGTAGCCTTTTATTTTTCTGTCAGGAATTAGTTAACAAAGGCATTCCTTGCTAGTGATGACAAAACTATAGTACCCTAAAGTTTAAAAAAATAATAATAAATTACTTGTCTCAAGTGCTAAGAGAGCTGCAAACACTAGCTTATACAAAATTGCATATTATTAATAAGAAGCAAGGTCAGGGGATTTAAGAAGTAAAGATTGGTAGTTACAAAATAGTTACAGGGATGGAAAGTACAGCATAAAGAACATAGCCAATAAAATTTTAATACTTATGTATGGTGCCAGGTGCATAGTGGAAATACTGGGGGGAAACCCTTTGCAAAGTGTCTAACCACTAGGTTGTGCACCTGAAACTAATTCAAAATAATATTGAATGTAAACTGTAATAGAAAAATAAAATTTTAAGTTCTTTTTTAAGAAAGATACAAGGCAACAAAAAGTAGGGTGAGAAAACACCCTCTTATATCCCTGAGAACACATTTTAATCATTAGCAAGAGCCTTTCTACTTTCTTGACTCTTCCAGAATCAGGTGTTGGTTCTTAGTAAACATCAGTGTATTTGCAAAGAATTCCCAGTGGCAGGTAGTTACTGAGTATCAAAGTTTATATTATTTTCTAAATAACGTAAGGCTAAAGACTAAAAAAAAAAAAATGTGACTTTATGATGCTTATTACTGTGACTTTGCCTGTTAATAATCTGCCTAAAAGTGAGGTATTTGATCTTAATAACAACTACCCTGTGGTGGCTCAGTGCTGGTAGCTGATGGTAAGGATATCAAAGGCGACAGGTATCGGTTGACCAGAGCAGTATACTAGGAACCAAGAAATTCAGCTTCTGGCCTTCACTCAGTGGTTTCATGGAATTTGTCATATCTTTTGAACATTCTGTACCTCAAAGCCTCTCCATCTCTTAAACCGAGTTCGTAATAACTACCCTGGTCTATCTCACAGGAATGTTGCATGGACGAATTAGATAAATGCACAAGTGCCTTGGAGGTAAAGCTGCTCTATGAAGAAAAATTAGTGTGATGTAGCTACTGGAAAGAATGTTGTAGGGACTGGAATGGTTCATCTCTGCGGGCTTCGTGACTAGATAAGGCTTCATAATGGGTTCCTGTTAAGCAAACGAAACTCATCTTATCAGTTCATAACTGTATGGTATTTTATGGGGGGGAAAAAATCTCTTTACAAACATTTGTTACCTTGATGTAAATGTTCATTAAAAATAAGCCGTGTTTGAATTAAATAAAACCTTTCTAAGTAGCTTCAAACAATCTCTGACACCCAGTTTAGTTTCTGTAGTCATTTTGGAGGGTGAGAATTTGATGTGTTTAATAAAGTTGAAAAATATATGAAACTGTGTGTGGGGAATGTTTTATCAGGTAATATTTCTAAGACTGTGACATTACCAAATTGAGATTAAAAATATATATACATGTGTGTCTTTATTGATTTCAGAGAGAGGAAGGGAGAGGGAGAGAGAGAGAAACATCAATGAAGAGAGAATCATTGACCAGCTGCCTCCTGCAGGACCCCCACTGGGGGTGAAGCCCACGACCTGGGTATGTGCCCTGACTGGGAATCGAACCACGATCTCCTGGATCCTAGGTTGATGTTCAACTGCTGAGCCATGCCAGCTGGGCACCAAATTGAGATTTTTATTTTGTTTATTTTATAGAAATGCCTAACTCTCATATCTGCCTAAACCACATTTTTTTTTTCTGGTTACTTTATGTTCTGTCACAGTTAACATCTTCATTCTCAATCATAATCATGACAGGGACAGACTCACTTATTACAACTCAAAAGATGTAACTACCAAATTTTTTTTCACATAAATGGACAGAGTTTCTATGTAAACTTATAGCATCCATGCACTGAGTCCTTGAGAAGGAGAATTGAGCAAATATTTAATTGTTTGGGCATTGTATAAAAGAGGTCCTATCTAGGCAAACTTGAGAAACTTTGATTCCTGAGCCAACTTGATCTCTTTATTTCTGGCAGGGGACCATTCCTAGTGGCACTGGGGAAATCTTGGCACCCAGAAGAATTTAACTGTGCTCATTGCAAAAATACGATGGCCTACATTGGATTTGTAGAGGAGAAAGGAGCCCTATATTGTGAGCTGTGTTATGAGAAATTCTTTGCTCCTGAATGTGGTCGATGCCAAAGGAAGATCCTTGGAGTAAGTATTGGAAATCTTTTTATCCTGAGTGAATTTTAAAGGAGAATAATTTTTGTTATGGACCCCTTGTATCATTTTGACCCCCCCCCCCTTTTTGCTTGGTACCCTCTCTATTTTCATCTCTGTTTATTATTGTAAAGCAAAACTAAATAGACCTCTGTAGATAGGACTTAGGGGGTTAAGTTGTCTTTGGTTTTGTCTTACTGAGTGCTGGTTTGTCTGGTGAAAGTCTAGCCACTGTGGGGGAAAAATAATTTACTGTGGGTGTGCTACCTCCACAAGACCCTGTTTGCTCAGGAATGAAGAGGTCATACAGGACCACACACATCGGAGTTCTTAGAACTGACACCTTCACTGCTTTAAATTAAATTCCATAGCTTTTATAAGAGCAGCATTTCCCTACTTGTCAGGGTTCAAGCACAGGGCACAGATCTCATGAAGTATATAAAACAGGCTTATAAATGATATATTTTTCTTGAATGCATATAATGTTTAAAAATATAACCTCAGCTTTATGAGAGTATACATGTATAGAAAAATAATAAAACCATACCTTTTTAATTTTTTTTGCAAAAAAGGGAGTAATTTAGGTGTCAGGTACATAATAATAAATAATGAATGAATGAATTTTCTACTCTGGAATACCCAGTTTGCAATTACAAAGTAAGAGTCAGGCATTTCCTGTGGGTGCCCAGGAGTTGGAATTTTACTTCAGAAGCAGTCAGGTTGCCTGGTCTCATACAAAACTCAAACAACTAATACAAAATTTGGAAATGACATTGCCGAATTCTAATATTCTCAATATGAAACTATAATAATGAAACACTAAATTCATATCAAATAAGAGAAAAGTTAGCATGAATTATAGAGTAGTAATTTTAGAATATATCTTTAAATATGTCTTAAACTTTGAGGATACTTAGAAATCAAATTTACCACATGAAATATTTCTATATTATTAATTTATACAATATGTTGGGAACAAAAGGATGGAATGGTTCAGGCTTTGACAATTAATACTTAGTATATGTTAATACTGTTTTATTATATAAATCTATTCTATGAATTCTAGAATAATTAATAAAACAAAGTCAAGAAACAGTTTTAGAACCAAATGATGTTCTAGGAAATGGAAACCTTACACTCGTTGCTTCAGAGGTGGGCCAGAACTTCACTAAAAGGACAGATTCTCTAGATTGTGTTTTAGTTGTTTGAATGTAACCTAAACCAAGGTTCGACTGCCTGCTGCCATCAAAGCCGAACTCATGAGACAGATGCTGGTAAAAAGGAAAGAGGTTTATTCAGTGCCAGTCACTTGAGAAGATGGGGGGCTCCTGTTGCAAAGCTCATCTCCCCCACTTTAGTGCAGGCCAAGGTTTTCATAAGGAGGGAGAGGGAAAGCAGAACAAAGAGATCAAAGGGAGGGAGTTGGAAAGTTCTCTACGTGCAGACCAGCACTGTCCATTCTGATAAGGATCTCTAGCAGGTCAAGTAATGGTCTGATGTCATCTGGTTCTGTGTCATCCTGGTTCTGTGGGTGAAGGTCAGCAAATCTTCTGTAACTGGGATGCCTGAAGGTCAGAGTCTGTCTCTTCTGAAGTTAGTTCCTAAGATTCTTATACAAACATGCTGTTTATCTCTAAGCTACATATTATTCAAAGGTAGCATTTATAGAAATAATGTCAAAAGAATGGTGGGGTGGGTTACAATTCTTCCCTGTTACATGAATCCCTATTAAAGAAGGAATAGTAATCTGTGTCAAGTATAAAGGGAAGTATGTGCTGGAAGCCTTGGGAAATGATTTGATTGATTGTACATTTGTTATACATGTTCATGGTAATCTTTTGGGATCTAAACAACTGTCATTTCTTTCCATTGCCCTTCAGTAGTGAACTATGGCATTTTCTATGGTTAATAATTTATTCTATATCATTTTCTTTTATTTTAACAATATTTTTATTAAGAGAAAATATTTCACTCTACAATTAGAAAATACAAAAAGTAAAAAGAATGAAATGAAAATGACCTATATACTTACCAATCCTCAATAATTCCTGTTAACTTTAGGATGGATTTTCTTCCACTTTTCTCCTTATAAGTAATTCATTTACAAAATAATAACCATACTTTATGTCTAGCACCCTCTTTTTGTGAACAGTATTATGCAAAGAGTAAATTCCCATGTTACTAACTATTCTTCAAAAATGATTTTTAATGGCTCCATCTCTGTCTCTCTCAATCCAAAGAAATGATTCCTCCTTACAAAATCCACTGCCCAAAACTTTTACTAGTTAAAATCTGGTCCAAGTTTTTGATATTTGGTATATTTAACCATAGGCTATTGTTGACTAGAATCCATGCTTTGTGGTTCAAATTTAGATACTCTTTTGAGTGTATGATTAGTACAGTCACAGCTGATTCCCAAAACACTAAACATGTGTTAAACTGATTGGATTACACTGATTAGGTTATTGTTTCCATAATGCACCAAAGTATAGGTTTGTTTTAGTTTTTAAATGTTTGCCCTTCCTCCATGAGATTTTCAAGATAATACTATGAAACCTTTATAAGTTAATGTTTCCTGACACCCTTTGAGAGAAAGCAGAATGTATTGTAGCAAGTGCTTATGAAATGCTTACTTTATTCACTTGTGTAGTATTTAACACACTAGTTCATTCTTTAAATAGGTTTATTGATAGTATTTGTGGGAAATGCACATGTTATATAGTGCATTGATTTAGTTGATTTTCAAGTCTGTCCTTATGTATCTCCTGTTAGGAGGAAAGCTCAAGGCAAAGACAAAGCACACATGTCTACTTTGTGTCAGTTTAGGATGGCTGTATTGGTTGAGCTAGCAGAATAAGTATTTGTGTATTGTCATCTTTTTTTTAATTTTTTACATCCAATTATTTTTCTGTAACAGGAAGTCATCAATGCTTTGAAACAAACTTGGCATGTTTCCTGTTTTGTGTGTGTGGCCTGTGGAAAACCCATTCGTAATAACGTCTTTCACTTGGAGGATGGTGAACCTTACTGTGAGACTGGTAAGCTGCTGAAGCAATTAGGTTCTTAAGTTTTGAATGAAGGTAAAACATTAACCCTTATATTACTATAAACTTTAAAGGAAATATTAGGCAAAATCGTTTTCCTAATTGTTTTAGTAACATTTAATGTTTCCCTAAATATATAGTAAAAAAAAAACTATGTATACTTTTATGTGACTGTCAAAACAGATATTCCCAACTTAATTAAGAGATGTGAGTATGTAAGCATTACTTAGGAGAAAAACATTTTGCTTGAGTCCCCAATAATTTATGGTTATAAGTTCTATCAAATCATGTAGCTTACAGCCACCTCTTCAACTTCATTAAGTAGATTTTGAGTGGTTATAAACATGACAAATGTTCAACTTTTGAATATGCTACTGATTTGCTCTTTAAGGCAATTGCCTTGACAATAAATTGGAAGTCCTTTGTTACTTTTACTGAATGGGAGGGTAATCCTGGCTTGGATTACTCCCTTGGTAAACTTATTTTTAATAAAGTAGGCTCTAAGGACCAATCTACTTACCCTTGCTTTAGTCCCTGGACACTTTTCCCTCCCAAAGGCTGTAAGGGGACTTTCATAACACTTATTTATTAATATTACCCTTGCCTAGGTATTACTACTGCACATACACTTTTCACAAATAAAATATTTTCCCTTTACCATGCCTTCATTCACTATACTGCATTCCCACTGTGGAGTTTTGCTTTTGTTCTATGTTGAATGTCAACGTGTGGCACTGCAAGAAGAGGCTGTTCCACAATAGGTTAAAGGAGCTTCTAATTTGAGGCTGGTCAACACCACTCCTTTTTTGCTCACTCAGTATCCTCTTATTTTCACCTTTCTCTTAGTTCCCATTAGGCCCAATCTAGTTCTGTGTCAGACTCTCCACCAGGAAGCCCTGTGGAAATTCCAGTGGCTTTTTTGAGACAGGTTGGCTACAAGCTGGCTGCCCTGATTCAACCAGAATCCTTCACATTTTATAATGCCACTCAATTCTCCTGAAGAAGGAGCTGTTTGTTTGTTTTAAAAGCTTTGCAAGACATTTTGACCAGATAGTCCCTATTTAGCCAAAAAAATTAATAAAACTACCTAGTCTTGATATCGTATTTAATGTAGTCTAAGAAGCTATATTTTTAAAAACCCGAAATTGCTTACAGAAAGGAGAAAACATTATTGAAGTCTTATTTAAATGTCACTTCTGATCATCTTGGTCTACTCTTTTTTCTTTTTTTAACCCCCCCAGACTTGTTCTTAACCCAGTCTACTGTCCCAAAACCTAGAAGTCATCTTGGATTCTGCTCTTCCCCTCCTCCCTATATCCAGCTTAATCACTAAATTCTAACATACATACCCCCAAAGTAGGTATTGAATTCATTCCTTTCCCCCCATCTCAGCCACCACCCCTGAATCCAGCTCCTTCTTACCCTTTGTCTGGACATTGTAATTGCCAGCTAAATGGTGTATCTTCTGTTCCCCAGCCCTCAACTAGCAGTTACAGTAACATTTGTTTAAATGTGAATCAGATAGTGCTTGATGCCTTCATGGCTTCCATTAGAGTCCAAACTAGATGCTCGACCAGGGCCCGCTTTGCCAGCCTCGTTCCTGCCGCCTTCCAGTCACTGGCTGCTGGCCATACTCTGCCCCTTTGTTGTTTCTGAGCAAATTAAGATCCTTCCCGCCTCAGGGCTTTTGTATCGCTGGTTCTTCTAACTGGAAGGTTCTTCCCCAGCTTTTCCAGGGTGGTTCCTCATTTCTTTTTCAAGCCTCAACGTAACGATTACCTCCTCAGAGAGAGGCCTTTTCTAACCCACCTATATAATGTTATATCACAGTTATTTTGTACCCCCAGTTGTTTTATATCACATCACTATTTTCTTTCCTTCATGGTACTTTTAATAATCTGAAATTATTTATTTAAAAAATAACAATAAATTAGGACATTCTCCTCCCAAAGAGAATACAAGCCCCTTGAGGAGAGCAACCACATCTGTATTCCTTACCACCAGACCCCTGACTAGTGCCTAGAGCAGTGCCTGGCACACAGTAGGACTCTGTGGCTATGTGTTGAACAAATAGTGCTAAGGAATATTGAAGATTGCTAAGAAAGGTGAATCAAGCTGCACACCATAGCCAAATTGTGTTGCTGCTTTCTAGGAACTATCATTCTAAAGCTCTGTCATATTTAATTGTGCCTCCTACCCCCCTCTACAGATTACTACGCCCTGTTTGGTACTATATGCCGTGGATGTGAGTTTCCCATAGAAGCTGGCGACATGTTCCTGGAAGCTCTGGGCTACACCTGGCACGATACTTGCTTTGTGTGCTCAGTAAGTGAACTCATTTCCAAATTAAAGGAGCACAGTGTGGCCGATTCTAGCATGAACACTAAATGGAAATAACAGTTCTTGTATCTTTCAGTCCTTCAAACCTAAAAATATTTTTACTGTGATTTTGAAAGTTTTTTATTAAAATTTTTTAGCACTTTTAGAAATTATTTGGCATAGACTAAGATGCTTACCCTTTAGAGAAAATCCTATTTTTAATACATTTTTGTTTACAAGGAGAAGCTATATATTTCTTAAAACAGTAAGAGTCCTTTACTTAAAAAACAAAACAAAACTCTTACTGGAGTGTTTTTAGTAATTTTTGGAAGCATAGGTATTTCTTAAAGTAGAAATAAATATTAAAAATCTATTATTAATTAACATTGGAAGTAAACTGTATGTTGATTTTCTTCCTTAGTAATAGTCCATGAATATTCTTTCTTTTTGAGATGATAATAACCATGTAGTAATATGTTTACCTATTGCATTTGCTATTTTAAAATTTTTTATTTTATTTTTTATGAGCATAGATATTTAGAGATTAACATTAACCTAAGATAGATGATAGATAGAGAGATAGAGAGATAGAGAGATATAAAATTTAGCAAATAAACATTCAATAAAGTTATTCAGATGTTTGATTTTTTTTTAATTAGGTTTAATATATCTAATAGCTTTCAATACCCAATGTATGAAGGGGAAAAGGTCATGTTAATTGAAGTCAAATAATTATCCCAGATGTTGCCATTGAACTCTGTCTAGTTTACCTCATTCGACTCTTGGATGTCATAAAATTTATTTAAAACAACAACAACAAAAAACTTTTAGCAGATTTGCCTTCTCCTATTCTCTGGTAGAGCTGCTCATGAGCATTATTAACAAAGGCAATAGGAAAGAGAAGACATAAATGTGGTTGCTTAATTGACTGCATAATCATCCAGCAGCCAGAAGTAAACCAGGGTTTTCACTGTAAGAAGCAAAGGAATGTACTGAAAAGAACTCTCAAGCACTTGGGAGCTTGCGAATGTTTGGGAAAGCAATCGTGCTGTGTTTTCTGTTTGAATGCTTTGGTTTTCTACAACAGGAGGCAGATTAAAAGCATCGATTAGAATTTGGGAAGAGAAATTATATTTAGTGTGACCTCTTTAGGTGATAATTTTTAATTAGGGCCAAGTGCTTTACTCCCAATAAAGAGAAATAATGATCAGTAATTTAAATAAATGAGAATGCATTCCAGAAAAAGTTATTCTTCATTGTTCTTGAAAGATTACATGGAATATAGTAACTGAATGTCAGGAAGTCTAACAACCAACTAAAGTGCTTTTATTAACCATGGGGTGAAAAACTATTTCTCCTTCATGCATACTTGACAAAAGAAGATATTCTCTTACATAACGCTTTTTTTTCAGGTGTGTTGTGAGAGTTTGGAAGGTCAGACCTTTTTCTCCAAGAAGGACAAGCCACTTTGCAAGAAACATGCTCATTCGGTGAATTTTTGAAAGTCAGCGGTTCAGGAGAAGAGAAAGAAATTTGAAGAGAAAGAGGAAAATTAAATTTACCAATTAATTTTTAGATTTAATATTTATATGGATTTTTGAAAAATAGTAGTAGCCTTGAAGGGATAAGTTCCAGCTTTAAAAACCAAATCTATAAGGAAATACTTGGCTTCATAATGTAAAGAGACAGTTTGACACTTGTCATTACTTTTTCCGTGTATTTTCTGCCCATAAAGTAACTTTTATAAAAATCCATTTCCTGGCTGACTATTAAATTCATCTTAGAATAAATTAGTGAAGAATTAAATTTTAGAATAAAACTACAACCTCTGTGCTGAAATAATTATGCTTTCCTTATTAGGTAGGTAGTTATGAGTAGATCTGTAAAAGGCCATGAAAATGCCTTATACTTTATCAATAAGTGAAACATTGTATTTTTTTCTTAAATAATGTTTATCTTTGAAACAGTGAATAGGAGTTTAAACAGAGAGTTTTATCAGTAGTCGGTGTCCCTTTTTAAAAACTATGTGCATTTTTAATTTTACAATTGATCATTCCAGTAGGAAAGGTCAGTGAGATCTTGATCAAAATGCGCCATGCCAGTAAGATGCTCTATTTTTCCATCCCTCCCAAAAGCCACCATACAGCTTATAAATCTCAAATACGACCATAACTTTGGACTGTGAGGGTTTTCTCTCTCTTCAAGAGAATGAGTAGAAAAGAATGTGGTTGGGAATTATGGTGTAATCCCCTCCCCAAACTCCCCCTTTTTTGACAATGAACTAGTTTCAGAGTTGTACTACTGACTGATGAAGGTTTAAGAACTCTCTTTGCAGAATAATTTTTTTCTTTAATTCTCCATTAGAAAAATAAAAGATTGACTTGAGCATGTGATAAAAATCTAGATTTTTTTTTTCTTTTGATAATTCTCTTTCAATAATAAACGAACCACTTCCAGATGTGATCATGAAGTTTGGAAAACTTTTATGCACAGAGTTTTGGTAGTAGAGGAGGGGAACATGATTAATTACTCAGACTGGCCTATTTGTTTTCTTCTTTTTGGGGAGGGAAAACATAGATCCACATGAAGACAGAGAAACAACTGTGGTAAAATTGTAGATCCTATTGACATTTGCCCAGTAAGAAAAGAATTTACAGCAGTTGATAGTTTTTATTTTTATTTCCAGAATGGATGAAGGCTCATGATCCCACTGAGTTATAATTTAAATATGTTTGGAGCAAGGTGCTTTTAAATCTGAGATTGAGCCCCAAGTCCTTCCTCCCCATCACTCAGTAATGACTTCCCTTCCATTGTGTACATGTTTGTTGTAGAGGGGACTTTCAGGCTACAATATTTGTTTAACCTCTCCAAGAACTTTTCATGGCCTCTGTCCTGGAAGATGTTAATTTATAGTCTAGCAGATTTAAATTATATGCAGATAATAATTAACTGGGGATAAAAGAATGAGAAGGGTGACATGAAGTGGCAAATGGAATGCTTCAAGTAGCAACCCCAGACCACCTCCTCACCCTGCATCTTGTAGGGAGGCAGGAAGTTTATGTTGTTTTTTAAAGTGCTGGAACTGAATTGTGTATTATTATTGCTGCTGAAACCACCTATAGAAGACATACTAGCTAATATGCATTGTCATACCTTAGTGTCAGTCTCTCGCTTTACGCAGTATAAAATTAGTGGTGGTTTTGTTTCGGTGTGGTAGGAGTTTCTTTTTGTTATTTAGTTCTGCCTTTATAGACTATATGCCAAGATACTATTTGATCAGTCAATGACATTTGGGTATTTCCTTCAAATAATTTTATTTCACCTGGATTTCCTATAAAATTATCTTACATTAATATATCATCTTTTATTAGACTTCTCTTTCTGCATATTAATCATAGAGCATAATGTTGCATTTCTCTACATTTTATCCCTAAGAGGGTGACATTACTTCCTAATTTATCATCGTTTCTTCTGTGGCAAAGCTTTCTGTCGATTCCTAAAACAGTTAATCCTATGAAATAAATATTGATTATAACCCAGAAGAATCTATTTTCCAGTGGGGAAGGCCATATTTAACACCCCAGTGTTAATCTCTTAATAACTCAGGCAGAGCACTTTATTATTCTGACGCGCTCCCTGAATATTTATTTTTCTGATTATAAATGTTCCATGTAAGTAGCATTTTTTAAATTATTACCTCTTTACTGTAGAGCATTTACTTTTAATCTCTCTAGATGTATATTTCGGATCGCTGTACTTAGCACAACGTCCCCTATTTGGAGGTCCCACTTGGAGAATGTTAGTGATAGGTTCAGATTTGTAACGTTTCTCTAGACTTACAAGGACAGAATGTTGCCCCCCGAAGGAGCAGCCCAAAAGCAGTCCCCTGTGCTTATGCTTATAGTAGCTTACATATTTCCTATTGATTCAGTTACATTTAGAGTCTAAAACTAAGACCTAAGCATCTGATCAGTATTAAGACAGAAAGAAGGGTTTAAATCTTCAAATTATTAGTGCAGCATTATGTAAAAATTATCTACAACAAAAATGTACTCATGATACCATTTTCAAGGGGTACTATGTTAGGATCACTTTTATAGAAAGTCATGTCTTCCTTTCCCTGTTCAGGTGTGAATCTGGTAGTGGTATGTTAACGTTTTGTGATGTTTGCAGTTCAGTCGTCTCTATGGAAAGGAGAGGCTCTTCACACAGGGAAGGGGAAACATACTGAGTAATTTCACACAAATCTAACGTGGCTTCTGTTTGTCACTCTTCATCCCCCAAATGTTTGAAGATACTGGGTTTGGATTCTCAATGTATCATTTGCCTTATCTATTAATCTTTATTTTCTGTTTCTTTACATTTTTAAGTTTGTATATACATCTGTGCTGTTTTGCTTCTGGATATATTTTCTAATTAAAAACCACATGAGAAATATAATCAGTATAGTAATACCTTATTGAGCACATAATAAATAAACAGCTGCAGTGATGTAGACAAGTTCTCCTGGTTTTTCTTTGGGGTGGCAAGTAGTTTATATGAAGTTATCAGGGGAAGAAACCATGTTCACAGGACAGGAAGGGGTGTGGTAATTCTCAGGAGAATCTCCTTATGACATTTGCTGATCGAAGTGTCCCAGAAACAAAACATTTGAAAATATTGTCACATTTATTTGACTTTAACATTTGCGCTCTGCATGTAGCACATATACACAGATGTTTATGACTGTATTGATAAATAAGCTCTTTGTTCCTTTAAAATATTTACTACTGAAATTATTTTATTGGAGCAGCCTGTCCCTCCAAGCATCCTATTGTATCATATATCACATTCCAACAACATAAGTCATCTTCTGCATGTTCACAGCTTTCATTGACCAGGGTCCGTTACCTATGCGTAACTCATCCTGCTCTCATTAGCTGACTTCTCTATAACTAGGTAGGCTCACCTATTCCTCATTTGTTTATTGGTTTGAGTATGAATTTTTTTTTTCCCAACTGTGTAAAGTTAAGAGGAATGTTTCTGTTGCAGGCTGTATATTGGGACTAAAAGACAAATTCAAGTCTATTTGCTCACAGTATATTAAACTCCAGAAGCCAAACTTATAAGGGCATCAAGTCTGCATCTGACATTTTAATAGCTGCTGTTTGGTTTCTATCAATCACGTCATTGCACATTAAAATGCACCGACAAAATAAGAGATCTGTCATTCCTTCGTTAAGAAACAGTAATCCAGTACAAGATTTATAGGCTTAGGACTCAACAGTGTGTGTTCACAGTAAATCCCCATTCAGTGCTCAAACCAGAACAAGCCTCCCTGTCGTTCAGTGTTTTCTGGTCAAATGTCCCCAATATAAGATTATCAAAGGTTTTCTTACAGGACTACATATAAAATCCTTTTTGCCTGCGAAAGCTTAATTTAGGTTGGCGGTTTCCCTTTCTGAGTAGTCTCAGACAAGATCTTGGTTATATCAGAAACACATAGGTACTGATGTATTATTAGCAGGCCTGGTGTTAATTAGGGAGAATTACCAGAAATAGTTTGCTTTGTGGGAATTTATTGCAGAATCACACTTGACTGATGGCAGAATAGGAGTTGCTGAGAGAGAGCAGCTCCCACTCATAACCGCTAATTAATAGGGTGCCAAAATTCCGCGGAGAAGGTTTCATCCCAAGTGTGGGAGCCTCACAGGGAAAATGGTTCCTTTGCAGTATTTAAAATTTAAAAGAGGAAAGGGGGCTAGGACACATGGCTGCCCAACAGGACTCTCAGACCGATCCAGTTCTGTGGTGTTCTTATGAATGAGAGCATTTAACTCAGGAAGCACGAAGCTCAAAGGTTTGTGAAAGAACCGCTCTCCCCCCGAAAAGTCCGGAGCGGGCTGTATGCTTCTCACACTCGGGAGATGCGTCGTATTTTGAACGTGGCAAGTGTCCGATTCGCTCAGCGACTCGCTTTGTGAAGAGAATTCAGAACATACCATTTGCTGATGGTGTTATATTTCTGAACTTTCGCTCTTTATTCCGTGATTTAGAAGCTGTCTGAGTAGGTGGCAAGATCACAGCAGTGATTAAAGGGAAGGGTGGGAGCCACACCTTGAATACCTCTCTGGGGGAAACAAGGTGTGTTTAGTGACTGGCACTAACGCAGAGCGCTGGGGGAGCCCTGGTAAGTGAGTTTGCCAAGAAGGCAATTTTTCCCCCCCTGTGTTTGTAACTGTGTGTGATCACATACAATAAAGCCTGGAGCCGTTGCTTAGCATAGAAGAATAAAACATTTCCATGTCAGAAAACCACTGGTCACTGACCGCAGGGAGAAATAAAACAATTTAGAATTCACAGAGAGTCAAATTTTTCAGTTTCTCTTCAGGCAAATGCAGTTCCCAAGGAAAATGACTTCTGTGCCAGGCCCGTGAACTGATTGGCATGGTCTCTAATGCACCCGTGTTTCAAGGGACAAAGTTTCTGTTTAATAATTGGCTTCCAAATTAGTTTTTCATCATCATGTTCTAAATTGTCACATTTGCTCTCTAGTTCATATATACTTAGGTTTGTTTTTTCTTTCTTTTTTTTCTCTTTTGCTTGTAAAGCACACACAGCTGGTGCTATTCTAAGCACTTACTCAAAAATGCCATTGTTTAAAGTGTTTCAGTAGACTGGAATGTCTTCAGAGGTGTCTTGATTTTTTTTTTTCCTAGTGTATCACTGATATGGCAAACTGTTCCCTTGGTGACTTACCATACAAGTATGAATTTTTATGTAAATAAGTCTTTGCAGCTGGCCGGTGTGTTCAGTGGTTAGAGCGGCCCAGATCTCAGGGTCAGTTCCCAGTCAAGGGCATGTACCTGGGTTGCAGGTTCAATCCCGGCCCCGATCAGGGCGTGTGCAGGAGGCAACCATCTCTTCCTCCCCTTCCCTCCCTCCCTCTCTCTCTAAAAAAATAAAGTCTTTGCTTAGGTGACTCGATATTGATGTCATCGGCGCCTGGCATCTTTCTGTCCTTGTGTGCTTGAGAATTCTGAAGATCTGAAGCCTCCTTCATTGAATGAAATGGAAAGCAGAAGAATCCATGGAGCTTTTCATGTATAAACTTTGAAATATAAGTTAAATTAATTCTGGCTTTATAAACTGAAACTTATTCATGTTGCTCTGTTAAATTATTATGCTACTGCTTAATTTTTCTCTGGTACCATTACCAATGATTCAAGTGAAACATGAACTTAATAAGCACAGAGGAGAACCCAGTACTTCTGCCCCAAGAAATATATAAATCAATGATGTGAATCTGTTACAGTTTGCTTATTTCTGAATACCCAAAAAGTTCTAGATGATCTTAAATAATATCGGCATGGTATAGATGTTGAGAGTAAATCAGAGCTTAGTGGGAAAATGTGTTTGATGACTCCTGGGGGGTCAGAACGGGTCCAATCCGGAGACAAATCACACAGTAACTTAGGAGAAGTTTAAAGAATTATTAAGCTATGATAAAGTAACTTATGAAAATATAAAGAGGAACTATGAAAATATAAAGAGGAACTATGAAAATATAAAAAGGTACCCTAGGGCTGAGAGAGAGGACAACCTTGGGAGGAGTACCCCTCCTGATGGCTGGAGGTCAGACCTCATTGGAGAAACAAGGCAGCCACCCTCCAGAAGGCAGGGAAGCCAAGGCTGGCGGGTGGGTGTGCGCAGGGAGCTGGGCACTGCCGTGGGCATGAGGCCTGGAATAGGAGTCGGCATCCCAAGGGCTGCAGCCAGGTGGCCGCGGGCCTGGCCGGGGATGTGACCTCACCAATGTGTGCACTCTGCGTGCACAGCTGGGGCAGGGCTCCGCCAGATGTCCCCACACACGTGCACCGCAGGCGGACCACGCAGATGGAGCAAGAAAAAGCGAAACGGAGCACCTGGGACCAGGAGGCGACGCCCCTTCTGAAACAGCCCTTCAGCCACCTGGGCGGACGGCTGACGGAGCTTCGCACGGCGCTCGCTCAGAGCCCAGTTCCTCGTCACAGAGCAGGCAGTGACGGGGAAGCGTGGAACTGGGAATCAGGAGGGTGGTCATTGGCACGCAATCAAACTTTAGATTTTCACCTGTAACTGGGAATCAGGAGGGTGGTCATTGGCACGCAATCAAACTAGATTTTCACCTGTATTGGAACCTTCATAACCCAGGACATTATGCATATTCTGGGGAATTAGGCAGTCAAGCACTAACTTCCTTTTTTTAATTTTTATTGATTTCAGGGAGAGGAAGAGAGAGGGAGGGAGACAGAAATGTCTCTCAGTGAGAGTCACTGATGGGCCGCCTCCCGCACGCCCCCGACGGGGGATGGAGCCCGCAGCCCGGGCCTGTGCCCTGACCGGGAATCGAACCGTGACCTGGTTCATAGGTCGACGTTCAGCCACTGAGCCTTGATGGTCGGGCTAAATTTTTTTTTTGTGTGTGAAAAAACCCCTGATAATATGTCTTCAGGATGAAAAGTAAACATAATGTTTTATGGATTGTGTTTTTCAAGCTCTATCCTCTAAACACCCAGTATAATTGAACAGTTTTAAATATTTAAGAGATTTAGTTGGATCTATAGTAATAACCAATGGTTTTTAAAATTTTACTTGTTTTTTTAATCCTCACCTGAGGATATTTTTTCCATTGATTTTTTAAGGAGAGTGGAAGGGAGGGGGTAGAGAGGGAGAGAGAGAAACGACGACTTGAGAGAGACACATCGATTGCTTGCCTCCCGCATGAGCCCCCGCCCGACCAGGCGTCAAACCTGCAACCAAGGTACGTGCCCTTGACCGGGAATCGAACCGGCGACCCTTTGGTCCTCAGGCGGACCTCTAACCACTGGGCCACACCAGCCAGGGCACCAATGGGTTTTTACTGGGTTTATTTTATTATACACAGTAATGCTTTTCCTATTTTTAAAGTAAGCAAAGCATTTTTAATTGAAGGTTTGTGTTATTTATTTGGGATTTCAGTTAGAAGTTTTTCTGTATAAACCTAGACCCTTATCATATAAAAATGGATTATTTTCATATTCAGTAATAGAAGCAAACAGATTAACAACTTCCCTCTTACAATAAACTAAACCATGAAGGATGAAGTCCAGTGGGTCTATAATAATAACATATTTGTTGTATAGTCTTTGTAATTCATATGATATATTATCTGTTAAACTAGGATATGCTAGTACACTGCAAGCTTATAACAACTGGAGAAACTACAAGAGGCAAGTGTTTTTAACACATTAGAGATGAGCAAATGAAAACTCAGAGAAATAATTCTCTAAAAACATACAGAGAATGTTTTATTAACTGGCAAATTAATTTTATTAACTGGCAAACATATTAACTGGCAAATCTGAGACTTAAACTTTCTAATAGATTAGAAAGAAAATTTACTATAGCATCCACATTCTCTTAGAGTCCCTCTTATTAATAACGGACAACTCCCATATTTTCAGTTAGTAAAGGACAGGTGTAGGAATTACTTGA